GCCAAGTATTAGGAACAAACATTGCTTTTAGTTCTAATTCAGAATTATGCGTTGTTCCAAAAGATAGTTCTCTTAGAGATAATACATTGTGCCAAGCAAACGAAAGAAAAGCTCTACAGCTAATAATCAAAGGGAATCCACACATTGTGGAACTAAAAACTTCTAAGAAAAGTAAAACAACCAACCGATAAGTTTTTTACTTATGTAAACTCTTTGGATATCACACCCCTTCAAAGTACTGATGCACGCGCTATGGCATTACACTCTTCTGTCTCTTCAAGTACCTGTCTCAAGTTGCAACCAAAGCTTACAAATCAGATAAGACCCTGAGAGAAAATTCATCGAACTTTATAGAATACATTCCTAACATCAGCCGGCATTGTGTTTCATATAAAATGTAATCTCGTTATTGATTTCATGGAATATAAACCTTATTTGTATGATAACCAAGACCACTTATTAAATTAACCAACTCAGAGGGAGCACAATGTAACAAATCCAAGATGTGTTGTATAAAACCAATTTCTGTACAGATCTAAAGCAAGAAATGTGCATCTTTATGCCAAGCACTACTCAATGCAGTCTTGAATAACATGTTAAACCCCTACTCTTTAACTCGGGGGATGTGAAAAAAGCTTTAAATCGAAGTGCCAAACAGACTGTTTAAATGAGCAAGATGTATTTTAGTGCTAAAAAAGCTTTCCTTTGTCTAACACGCCAACAAAATGCGGTCTAATCGACAAAAAACCTATAATGTAGCAGCATTCTCTTGCCAGAGACTGAAAATCCTCATGGACTACCCATCTTTTCCTTTCCCTATCAATCCCAAAACCAACTTGTTCTTTAACAGAATGATCACAAAAACAGAACGACCGAAACCAAACAGTTCTTCCCAAGGACAAGGTAAGCCCAAGAAACTTCAAGAGTGTTAACATTTTAAACAAAAAAAAAGCCACTTGTCTCTCACATATTCTACAAAATCCTAAGAAAAGTAACACTCACAAAGAGGACTAATTAGCGATCCTGACAAGTGCGTCGGAAGGTACCGTTAGACAGCTCGCAGAAAGCCCGCAAATTAACATTAAGGTGAGAGGTGAGTTGAGAAGCAGCCACAACACTGTACAGAGGCAAGAAAGACTGTGTGCATCCAAGTGCTCCTAGATTCCTGAATATTACAAGCCAACATCAGATTCTACCGAAGATCAATTGCTTTCCCAGGATTAGCTACGAATATCAAAAATATATTTCCACTGAGTTACAGTAAGCCAAAGAAGATTGATTGGATACAAAAATCACAAGAGAACATCAGATTGATGAAACTTTGAATGCCAAACTATAAAATCAGAGATTACAGATCTCAAATGTTTCAGAATTCGATTTTCGCTGAGCTACAGTAAGCGATACGAAAATCTTCCAATTCGTCCCGAAATCTATAAGCTGGACTGCTTGGATTATATTCTACTATGAGCTGAAATTGATCAAGAGAATAGGTAAAACCT